GAAAAAAAATAAAGAATTTTTTTTGGCCTTGATGGATATTTACACATGTATTCTTAATCAATATCCCAAAAAACCGACGTTTTAGAAACCTTGAATCTGTAGAACACACGTTCCTATCCTTCAAACTCATCTGGCTTCGTCTGAGGTCTCAAGCTGTCTTATCCTAACAGATGTACAATAAATTCTCACAAAAATCTCACCATTTCAATAGTTTATCTTGTGTTGTCACATTCTTTTCTTTAATCTTGTAATGTCAAGGTCCTTGTGTAATTAGCTGGTTTCAGTTCTAGATTTATTTCTGTCCTTCCTCAGAACTTGTGTTTCTGTTTTAGATTTATTTCTGTCCTTCCTCAGAGCTTGTGTTTCAGTTCTAGATCTAATTCACTCTTTCCTCAATCTCTGTTTCAATATTAGATTTATTTCGATCTTTCCTGGACTTGTGTTTGAATGTTTCATTCTGTTCAGAGCTTGTCCTTTAGTGCTAGATTTATTTCAATTTTTTAGGAATTTGTCTTTCTATTTTAGATTAGTTTCAATCTCTCTTGAACTTTTTATAATTCTAGATTTACTTTTATCTCATGATCTCCTGAAATTATATTACATGGTTCGAATGTTTTGCTTGATAAAGTCAGGATTGAACTGAAATCAACATGCAATGGTTGCATTTCATATCACAATGGGAAATCTTTATGCCATAAACTGCCATAGCCACAGAAATATATCATGAGTTAAAACACACAGAATTATGTACAAAAGTACTTGCTATTGGTTACATTAGTGTAAAAGTGACCTCAAATTGACCTGATGACAGAGGTGACATTTATAATGAGTATTCAGAGAAACCTGTCGGGCATTATCAAGTTTGTATCATACAAATAAAATTATAACTGAGCTGGCCTTTTTTGGTATGGCTGATGATTAAGTAGGGATTCCGACCAGAAAGTGATATGATTATTGTGTCGGAGGGTTTATGACATTACTCTATATTACTCTCCACACCTCCCAATTAGGGATTCCTAATTATACTCTAATTAACAGGGGGAAACCCTGTCCACCTACCGCAGGGTTCTTCAGGGGCGGCCTCGGTGCCACAATCGCCTTTGAGCTGGCCAGTAAATGTGACTGAGCAAGTTTAGTAATTACATTGTTCCTCGTCAGTGCTTTATTAGAAAACTCCCAAATCTACACAAGATGCCTGAGAATTTGAGGGGAAAATAATTGGTTCCTCTAGTTAAGCATCCATTGGAAAAAATAAATTGACAATGTTAGCAAATTATGGGGGTAAAGAGACCTAATCCGATGGGGAAGCTCTGGGCCAATACACAGCACTAGGGCTTGTTAGTGAGCATGGACTGGACATTCACTGACCATGGGGAACCCACTGGTCACAAAACAAGAATGATGCATCATTAAAAGCTGTGATTGGTCAGTTATGGTGAGGCAGATTGGTCAACAATGGGCATGATAATGGCTATAAAATGATTGTATTGTTTGAATATTATATATGATAAACCAAAGAGACTATATATTTTAGCAGTCTGGCATCCTGCACTTAGAGAATGCTAGTTTGTTCTGATAATGCTGTAATATTAATGTGTACAGAAGTGAAATATTTACATGCAGTTTTAATGAAGCAACAGTGAAAAGTAATGCAGTCTGTTGCTTTAGTAGGATGAAAGCAATAAAAAGATATTTATAATTTACTTGTCGATGTTTGACCAGGTTTTTATCACAAAACCATTAAATCAAAGTCTGTATTGTTGTTAATATTTTATGGATCCTCATTGGTTTTGTAGTGAAGGACCATTTAATGTATCATCATAATAAAATGTTATAAAAAACAGTTTAATTTTTTACATTATAATGGTTCAGAGTATATGAACAGTGTTTGTACTAACAAAAAAATAATAGTTCTTTACCTCATCAGCCATGGACCTCGACATAAGTGTGACTAAGTGGCCTATGCTTAGTGGCACTGTCATGTCACATGACTAGTGTCCTTTAGTATAGTGATGCCATGTGACAATGTGATGTCACATGACTGGTGTCCTTTAGTTTAGTGATATCATGTGACAATGTGATGTCACATGATTGGTGTCCTGTAGCACAGTGATATCATGTGACAATGTGATGTCGCATGATTGGTGTCCTGTAGCGCAGTGATATCATGTGACACTATGTCATATGACTGGTGCTCTGTGGTAAAGTGATAACATGTGACACTGATATCATGTGACACAGCTGTACTGTTTCCTCCAATATGACACATTTGTGATGAGGCAATATATATGGAACAGTCAAAAACAAAGAGACAGGTATTGTTAACAAACAGTATCCAGATTTATTAGGGATGGTTGTTTGAAGGCATTTAACATTAAGTGTAATCTACAGAGAATGTTGTTGTATTACCAGTGACTGCAGGTTTGATTTCTGTTTAGACATAAATATCCTTTTTACTTTTGTTAAAGAAAAATACAATGCCCATAGTGGGATTCAAACTGGTGACCTTGAGCATCTAAACCATCAGCTATCACACCTGCTGAAAGAGGTTTTCCTAGACAACACAACATCATAGTGATCTCCTTTTCATAGAGGAATAAAAATGCCAGTCAGCTTATAAGTTGGGGATCTCAATCATCATCAAAACACTTCATTTAAGAAATCTTAGCATAGGTATACCCTGTTTGTTCAACAGATCTGCACTCTGTTGTATATGGCTTTAAATAAAGTTTTCTAGATTTTGAAATAACGATGGCCTCTCTCATTCATTGAATTCATTCATTAAATAAGTAACACACAATTTTTAGATAATTTTATTTCTTTGTGACTTTTCCTGTCATATCATTAGCATGTACAAATGTTGTAGCCTGTTATACTCACTACTATTTCTCTTTAACAGTCCACACATCACAGCATGCCATTCATCTGCAAACATGCTAATGACATTTAGACCAATAGCAAAATAGGCATTGTCATACTGACCACTGGTCAGAAACAGTCACCTTATTAAAGCTGATCATTTTCCAAGGGAGTAATTTCATTAATCACTGCCCATTTGTTACCCCATAAATAATAATGAAAATGGCCGATACCTTTTCCGGTAAGTGTAAGGCGTGATTTCCTTGTCAGTCCATCCCTGGAGGGAACCTTATAGAAATTCTATAAATCACATTTGTACTATATTTTCTCTTTAATTCTGACCTTTTGTGACCCATGTTTCACTTGACTTCTTATAGACCAATCAGCTATGGTATTATTAAATGCATGTCACATTTGACTTTCACTTCATCCCCATTTTCATAATGGCTTAAAAGTTTTGCTAAATAGCCTGAATACTTTTGTAAAAGTCTGTTAATGTATAAGCTGTTAAGGCTGTCATGACATGTAGTGACTGTTGTATACCGTAGCATTCCTAAAAAAATGTCTCACCTGTAATGCTCAAAATAATGCCCAATTGCTGGTGTAATCCCAATGATGCCTTGGCCTCATCTTCTGTCGTGATCCCTATGATGCCCAGGTCTCATCTGCTATGGTGCTCCCATTGATGCCCTCATCTGGCCTCATCTTCTGTAGTGGTCCACAAAGATGCCCAGGTCTCATCTGCTATAGTGCTCCCATTGATGCCCTTCGCTGACCTCATCTTCTGTAGTGGTCCCAAAGATGCCCAGGTCTCATCTGCTATAGTGCTCCCATTGATGCCCTTAGCTGACCTCATCTTCTGTAGTGGTCCCAAAGATGCCCTTAGCTGGCCTCATCTTCTGTAGTGGTCCCAAAGATGCCCAGGTCTCATCTGCTATAGTGCTCCCATTGATGCCCTTAGCTGACCTCATCTTCTGTAGTGGTCGAAATAATGCTGGTATGATCCCAATGATGCCCAGGCCTTGTCCTTTCTAGTGTTCCACATGATTCCTAGGTCTCATCTGCTGCAATGGTTCCAATAATATTTCATGCCTATGGGCCTGTTTAGGATTAGTCTTTTGCAGACCGATAACCCAACCCAACCCCAACCCCTGGGCCTGTTTGGGAGTATTCTCTTTCTGACTAATAACCTCCCCTGGGCCTGTTTGGGAGTATTCTCTTGCAGACCAATAACCTCCCCTGGGCCTGTTTGGGAGTATTCTCTTTCAGACCGATAACCTCCCCTTGGCCTGTTTGGGAGTATTCTCTTTCTGACTAATAACCTCCCCTGGGCCTGTTTGGGAGTATTCTCTTGCAGACCAATAACCTCCCCTGGGCCTGTTTGGGAGTATTCTCTTTCAGACCGATAACCTCCCCTTGGCCTGTTTGGGAGTATTCTCTCACTGACCAGTACATGCCCCTGAGCCTGTTTGGGAGTATTCTCTCACTGACCAGTACATGCCCCTGAGCCTGTTTGGGAGTATTCTCTCACTGACCAGTACATGCTCCTGAGCCTGTTTTGGAATACAACACTTGCTGTAAGAATCAATAATGTTGTTGTGATATAGACAATGCTGATTTGGTGTCTGTGATACTAGGCTTCATTACTACTGGAAACACATCACCATTTGTTGTAAGCAGGCTAATCCGTTTATGGAGTTTCCTCCCCCATCACATGTATTTTAAACCTTAAAGTACACGTAATTCTTTACTTACAAACCAAAAAAATTAAAACACATAAATTCTTTAAATTTTTTAAAGAAATAAAACTACTTTATTACTGTGTACCTTCTTATAACTCAATTAGTAGATTTCTTTAACCACTGATACATGTAGACTATTTCTTTATCTGTGAATTCTGAAGCAGATTGGCTGCATATTGGATTGCCGGGATTAGGTTAGAGGTAGAAAGTGTTAGGACTTCCTGATATATAGCTATCTTCATGTGACGATGGGCTCAGGTAAATGATGCTGTTTTGTAAAATTCAGCAAAACCTTGGAGGAGCAGTACAGAAATTTTTGCAATTTTACTGAATTAATATAGATTATACTGATAGGTATCTGATATATTACTTACAGGTGTATTTTTTCTATATTTTCAGTGAGCTGGTTCAGGCATTTGGCCCCACTATAACAGCTGCTTACACAGCCTGTCTCCTAACCCGACAGTGTAGCCAGCAAGCCTTCGCACAGTGTGGACGCTCCATGACCACCTCAGACATGATCGCTCAGCTACCTAAAGCCTTCAACCAGTTGTACCTCTAGTGCAGCTTCTGGTAATTATAACTCCTCACAGTTCACATATCACAAAAAAATTAAACAAATAAAAATGAGTGTAATTTTCAGTGACATTCTTGACAAGGTGAAATTAAAAGAAAATCATTTCTCTGAGTTGCTGACTTTCCAAAATCCAGATCACCGTGTCAGTAGATTTCTTCACTTGAAGGACATTTTGAAGTATCTCGACACTTCCTGTAACATCTGATAGAGTAGTTTTAAGTCAAGAGGTGATTTCTTATCATAAACCAGTCAACTGTTTCAATTAATATTTTAAAAATATGTATACAACGTAGCTCTTAAAATGAAAATTTAAATTCAGGCATTCAGAACATTTTATAGTTAAGAAGGTTTATGTTTCTGGGACCAGCTGAGCGAATATTTAAGATTGCATAACACAAGCATCCATCACAGGAAGTGTTAATAATGTAAGCAAGAAAATTTAAAAAAAAAAATAATAATAAATGGATTATAGGTGTCCTTTCGTTTAATCAACAACTGCTTGGAGCTTTCAGCCTTGTCACTGTTACATTGATTTCTGAGGAATCGAAATTCGTAAATTGGAGACAATGGTACAAAAAAGTCATGGTGCTTGTATGTAGTCCCCTCAATAGGAGACAGTACGATCTAGGTCATACTGCTTGCACGTAGTTCCAACATTTGCCAAACACATACTAGTCTTATCCATCGTACACATACTGGCACTTATTGATGTCAAGCAATTAAGAAAGCTGTTAAATAGTTAATAACTGACTAACTTAATTTTTTTTGAAAATTTTATCCTGTGTCAAATAATTTGGATCACCTTACTGTAAAATGTTTTTTCAATGCTCAAATTAGATGACAAACGATTTAAACACCTCTACACTCCAATCACATGTCAAGGTGGAACAACAGTCAAATAGCAGATCAGAGTCAGATAGAGACCTCAACAACAACACAATAAAGAAATTATTCATAAAAGTTAAAATGACACCAGTTTTTGTTTGGTAAGGCTAGTATTGTTTAGATTACTTGACACATAATTTACCACATTTCCTTCGAAAGTTGCTCTCTGGTAAGTAGAAGACCACAGACTACCCTTTCTCCATCCATATTTGCCTGCTAAGGAGAACACAGCAGCCTACCATATTTCCTTTTATATTTGCCCTCTTAGTGGAGGATCAGACTGAAAGCCTAAAATTTAATGGGAAAATAGGTCTTAAAGATTAATTTTTAAATATGTTCACCATTATTTGTTAAAATGGTAGACAGATGAGGTTGAAATTTCTGAGTTTATATATTTTAAAAGGAAATATACATGGTTTTATTTTTATCAAAACTCAAAAGTTTCTTTTGAAAAAATTAATTCTTATTATTTAAATGCAAGTGGCAATGAATTTAGATTATTTGTGTTCTGCTATTTTTGAGGTGGAAGTATTGGATTAAGTATGGTATTTAAAGCTTTAAATGCAATTCCTGTCTTTTCTTGTGTAAACACAGCACGATGTCCAATCTGATGAAATCTAATTGTGAGCCTTGTACTTAAGTCGTTAACTGCTACTGAAAGTTGAAATCATTGTGAAGTTAAACAATTTGGTCGGGTTTTGTTGAGACAATTTTACTTCTAGTTGATTGCTCCTTTAAAGGAGGGTTAGAAAAATGACAATTGATCATGAAATGTGGATTTACTGGGAAACCTTGCTTAAGACACGTGTCAGTTTTGGTGGCCGATTTTTATCTATTTTTCACACAACTCCATTTTATGGTTCTATCGCAAGATCTGGGTTGCTGTGTATTCTATGTAAAGATAGTGTCTCCTCTGTGCTGTTTGTATTGATATATTGGAAAGTTTTTAGTTTCACTTTTTCGAAAAAGACATTCATTTCAGTAAACATTAGAAAGTTGATACTTTCAACACGTTTTCTATCAGAAGGTCTAGTGCTAGACAATAACGTAATATTTTGTAATCGAGTCAGCAACGGCTGCACGTTCGGTACGATTTCATCATGTTTCTAAAAGCATGCAGGCTTCCATGTATAGAGGCTATAAGACCCTTTTCCTTCTCATAGATCACCCTGCAATGACAGTTGAAACGAGAACATCTGACAAAAACTATTCTTACTAGGGAATGATTTTCATGTCAAAAAGTCAGTGATTTGCTGTAAATAAAGAAATGGTTTCTACATTCTCACTCTCCCATTGATTAGGAAAATGTATGAAAATTTCTTGAAATAATTTCTGTTTACAAGTTTACTTGGTACAGTGTAAGAAAAAACCTCCCAACTCCAGTGTAATATTCCTCTTCGTATTATGTCATAGGAATCTTGTTTGCTTCCAATTAAAACCCGTGACCTTAAAATTTCTCATGGCATCCTTGCGTTCAAGTTGAGGGAAATTTCCTCCAGTGGAAAGCTAGAGGGCAAATACAATCAAATGTACACCTAGTTATTAAAACCTGCAATTTATAAATGAGGATGGATTGTCTCCCTTTTAATCCAAGTAGTAATTTAAATCTGCTACTTATACATGAGGATGGTTATCTTTCTTTTAGTCCAAATAATAATTAAACCCTGCTATTTATACATGAGACTGGATTATCTCCCTTTTAATTGAAGTATATCAAGCTACCAATCTGAATCAAACCCATGACTTCCAACCTTATAGTAAGCATTCTAATGATTAAGCTGAAGGGAAATTTCAATTGGTGGTAAGCTAGAAGGCAACCAGAAACCAATGTATAATTATATACATGAGGATGGATTATCTCCCTTTTAATTCCAATTTGTCAGGCTACCATATCAAGCCGTGCTGACAAAGTTTGCGGTTTCCATGTTCATTTGATTGTAGAACAAACCTAAAAAGCTGATAACATTAACCTCCTGGTGTAAGTTTTTATAAACATCCTGTACTAGAATCGTTTGTCAGTACATGCCCATCACTCACTGATGTAACTGCTCTCCTGGAATGTTGCTCTTTGAAACAGTTGGCTTTTAATTTACAAACTTTCCAGTCAAACTGAACAGAAGAATTCTGAAAGATTAATTAAATGGTAAATTCTGTAAAGAGAAAGGTGACGAAATGGCGATGGTGCCCAGATGGGAGAATGGAATGGGTGGGGAGGTAGTGGACACTGAAGGATGACTATGTCACCTGTTACTAATGGTCTTCTATAGAGACCGAAACACTTACCATACAAGTGCTACCCTTACCTTCCAAAAAAAGGACAATGACAAATGGAACCAACAGTTCCCTTAATACGGGTATGAAAGGCTGGTCAGTCATCATTGCTAATGACCATTTGCTGACCACTGTCCTAAGTGTGAATTGACCTTGGGTAGTCAGCACAACCCTTTGTAGTGGCCAGAAAGGGCCTTATGTTTAGGTGTGACTGCTCTGTGGGGGTAAGAGTTAAGGGTTTGAAGAATTGACAGAGGTATTCCAGTGTTGTAGGATCAAAGACAAACATGGTAAAAGCTAGTCTTCAGAGTCAATATGTTTCACTGGGAGTAAAAAATACCATAGATATTGATATAAAATTAAAACAACAATGAAGGAAAGGACAAAACTTAAAACAGCCAAAGAAGAGGATGGATGGATGTTAACATCCTGTAGGATCTTGTATCATTAGTATTGTATGATAGTCTATTTGTCCTTTTTACATGGTTATGAAAATATCATAATTGACACCACAACCAGAGATTACCTACCCTGCACAAATGACTACAGAATGTTGGATTTTGACCAAAGATGAAAGGATGGTTCTACTTGACTTTTTAATAATTGAAATAGAGATCGTTTGATATTTGTTTAGTAAGTCCTAGCTGTGAAGACAAATAAGTGTTTCGATATCTATAAAGTAAATTTGTTTTAAGTATAGAAGGAACGTTTATTGGTGTTTTTGTAACAATTTTTGAAGAATAGCTATACGTAGATTCCTACTGGGCCAAATACAACAAGCCCGTCCTTGGGCGCTATCTAAGAATACTCTCAGCAGGCAACCAAACTTGTGAATTGTGCAGGAAGAAAGGACAACCCCAGTAGCTGTATTTGTCGTCGTAAGCAAATACTAATTTCTCTACACCATTGATGAAGTATATAGATCAAGTCTTTTAACAGTGACACTGTCATCACTACCTGTTTGTGAAAAGATAAGTCAACTTAAGAAAGTTGACACTTCATTTATTCTTATTAAGATCTAACCAGGTCAAACAAGATTAGGTGAAACAGAAAACTAAAAACAGACACACAGTGTATTAAAAACTGAATTAACTTTGTGAAAAGTTCCATGTGTTTGTATCTACACAAAAAAAGAAATTAGTTTTTCTTTTGATATAATGAATGACGAAGATTGAGCAATATACATTCTTATCCCTCTGTACTGGCAGTTGTGTGAATTCAATAGAAGGCAGTCGTTGTGGACAATACATGTCAGGTACCGCTAGTCTGGGAGGAGGAGTCGAAATACCTCCACACATCAATATACCGCTGTGGTCACCAATGTGTACTACACCCGCCTCCAGAATGGCAGTGTTCTGACAAAGTAAGCATAATATCAAGTGAATTCTTCAAGAAATTGCGAAACAGGAATAGTTTTCTGAAGATTATGCTGACCTTTTCTACTCCTGAAGAATCGTTGGTTCCATCATAAGGAAGAATTATGTTTTTAATTGAGTAGATAAGTTTTAGGTAGATTTCCTAATACAGAAGTGATTACTATATATAGTGGTGTGGTCCAGAGAAGGCACTAATGGAGTTGTACTTTAGAGTAGCCTGGCCAAGTCTTACCTGGTACATTAAAAACACTCGTATGATGTTGATGTGTTGCATAGTAACAAAATAACTGCAGTGGAGTGTGTAATATTTTACGATGGACTGTTTAGGATGTGTGGCTGGTTGGAATAGAATGGTAAGTGTATATAGCATACATTGCGTATTGTTTACTATACATTGTAGTGTATTCTTGTAGCATACACTGATAACAAAGCGTGTCATGTTAAAAATTCATGATGCTGTAGCC